ATGTGAATATGACTGAAAAATTTCATTTTTTCTGAAAAGGTGGTGTCTATTTACTTGTGACCACTCAGTGTAGATACAAAATTCATCGCTCTCATAGTAATAACATAAAGAGACAGCAATTCTTCACTAGTTAGCAAGAACAGAAGGTGTAATTGATTGCAAACTAAATGTCTTACTTATTTCAGTAAACATATTGAGCAGTGAATCGTGTTTCAGTGGAAATATACCATATATCATTTGTTTATTAATGATTAATAATTTCAGTGGCGTATCTAGGATCTTTAAAGTATGTCGGCACAAGTTGCCCACACTAGCTGCAACTGAGGCGCTATGCGCAAAAGAGAGGTAGGTGCAAAAGGGGGCACACCCTCCCGTAGATAGGGTATGGTGAGCCTCTTCCAGAAAAAAAATTAAATCATGTGACCAACATTTTTTATTCTAATACATTTCTCAACTGCTTTCATTGTATTATTTCTCCTTTAAAAGAACATATTTTATAGATATGAATGAAAATAGATTACTGAAAAAAAGTAAGTTATTTTACAGTATTCAAAACATTTTAATCATACAAGTGCCGATAGTAGCATTTAATGTAACTTTAGCTGCGATTAGAGATGATGACGAGGAGATCATTCATTTAGTCCTACTCTATTTATTGTAAAAGAATACGCTGCTCTTTATTGAGAGCCAAAGAACTGAATATTTCTTGTTCCATTGTTGATGTTAAATAGTTTGAAAGACTTTTCTGCTAGCTGTCACTGTTAATAATGGCATAGATAGTAATATCATCCAGATATTAAACACATTAGGAAACAAGTCAGGGCATGTCACAGCAACAGTATTAATCAGTGTCGCAAGTTTCTCAGAAGTCATTTGCCATCGAACAATCCATCTTCAAATTCCTCGGATGCCTGGTGTGACAAAGGTCGTTAATTCGCATATTCCCATAAAATTTTATCTTGTCGCTCTACTTCTTTTCTTTTCGTTGAACTCTTGTCTTTTATACTCTTTTCTCAAACCCTTCTGAACCAGCTCCTTTCTTTCTGACTTTTCAGCTGTTTCCATTATATCGAGTTACAAAGTTTCATGACCATAGGGAGTCCTTTTGTTACCATATTGCTGAAAAAGAAAGACAGCCGCTCCTTCAAATAATTCCCCAATGACTTAAAGTGTTATAGTTCCTTAGGGATTGAATAAAATCCAGCTGATTTCTCACATCTTTCAACTTCAGCCAATGTTCCTTAGACCTAACTTCATAAAATATCTCCCTCCTTTGCTTGAATACATTCAACAATATTGATTGTATTCGATCGCGACTATGTTTCTTCTAATTTCGATGTTATCGCAGGCTCCGAAATTCCGGCATGTCATCACACTCGTCTTCAGATTGTTTCACCACTCAGTCTTTTGTTGAACACGGATAATTTTACTCTCTTTATATATATCTTATTATAGTTCACAGTCTTTGTTTAGATATTTTATAAACTTCGCAATCTGGCACAGACACACATTTAGAAAAACAGTTCATTACAATATTAAAAACGTTCACAGTATTTTATATATACACATACACTTACAATTAGTTGGGAAATATTCCCTGTCGTTTACATTCTACAAGTATTGACTGCTCCATTCACTTGCATAACCTGATGTTAACACACACAGCATCAGTTTTAATCCTAGCTGGACAGTCCCGTATCTTTATACAATATATATTTCTAGGCACTTACAGGAGCGCTGAAATGTTTTTCTCGTTCACTTGTTCCGAACAAGTATCATGTTGTAAAGTAAACTACGTGTTTAGATTTAAAGTATAACATCCATTTATTATCGTAATCAACTTCCAATTCCTTAAAAAAATTCCCACTTGTAATAATGATATAACATAAAAACATTTACATTTTCTCGATAGAAAGTATCAATAAAATATCATTTTACAGTAGACAAAGATGGTAATAGTTTACTGGTGGAAAAAGTTGCAGATAAAGACCACTGACCTATACGGTAACTTTCTCACTAAACATCCCATCGAAATGGATGCGCGCTTTATGAAGGGTGAAAAAGATGAACGTCTAAACCACTTAACCAACAAGGACATTTTAGTCATATTGATAAGTGCAACTCATGCAAAGTTGTTTTGCATATTAATTAAATGATTAATTTGAATTAAACACTTTCGCTCAAAACATGAAATATACCTATCTATACAGTAATACCTACCACCGTGTTATTTCATTTGCTTTCCCTATCGAGATTTATAAATAATTGTAATGAATATGATTTGATAATTTCCAACAAATATCGTTGGCGCGTTGCTTTATTTCTCCTGTGTATGCATTTTAAGTACATAGAAAGGAGCAAACGCATATTTTTACGGTAACGAATGATGGATTGAGGAGGGAGGGTTAAGTATGGGGGTACAATTAACAAGAAGACTGAGACAAGAAGTGGGGAGAGATGGAAAACAAATTCTTATATTGATACTACTTCTAGATTTTTATACCTGTACGGAAATTCATAATTTACATAATCACCGTTAGATGTCCTCAAAATAATTTACATAATCACCGTTAGATGTCTTCAAAATAATTTACATAATCACCGTTAGATGTCCTCAAAATAATTTACATAATCACCGTTAGATGTCCTCAAAATAATTTACATAATCACCGTTAGATGTCTTCAAAATAATTTACATAATCACCGTTAGATGTCTTCAAAATAATATATTTACTTCTGTTAATTTCAAATCTAGAATGATATATCCAGTTCTTTTGTGCCTTGAATCGATGTAGGAGTTTTATTTTTACAGGCATATTTTTTTCAGATCCTGTTGATATGTCTTGTGTTTTAGATGCTGTCTCACTT